TTAGTCCTTGCTCTGTGCTTCCCCTATTAGTATTGACTTTCCAAGTGGATAATGGGAGGTAGAAAAAAAAAACTCATTTAAGCACTCTCACCCTTTGGCCTGACCAGGAGCTTAATTGTTGCCATGAATACACAATAGAGATTTTTTAATACCTTAAAAATAAACATTTCTGCCACTACTCTGATTGCACTGTGCCCTCGTTATCCCTGTACTTAATATTGCAGAAATGATGAATTTAGCATGCTAGTGAAGCAAGGAAAAAAGCAATGGGTTTGTAACTACTAATTTCATTCACCCATAGAACAATCCCTGCCCCCAACAGTTACTATTTGAGATTCTGGTTAAGTCTGGTAAGTCATTTAATTTCTCTGACCCTTGGTTTAGTCTCTATAATTGAGATATTATCTAACTCATAGAATTTCTTAGAGGATTAATTTAGAAAACACATGAAATGACTTCACTGAAGATATATCTAAAATTTTTTCAGATACTTTGTGTGAACTATGTAGAAAAATTATGAGAATATAACTAGATGCATCTTAACAGAAGTACATGTTTTAAAAAATGAATCTTATACTAGCCACAGATTAAAGTGGCCAAACCACTTAAACATCAACATCAATCTCCCATTTTAGTGTAAAATTAGCATCATCATAAGTTTATCCTTCTTTAAAAAGTAGGCAAAACATGAAGGCATGGGGACAGCAGCAGGTTCTACAAGGTCAGAAACTAATAAACTACAAGACTGTTAACCAAGAAACTTACGTATTATGCACCCCTGGAGTGAAATTCCCTTTAATGGAAACCACCTTATGGTCTCTTGGTCTTCCTTTCTGTTTACTTTAGTCAATCACAACCACAGTGTGCATGTAATTTCTTCTTTGAACTTTCTAAGGAGTAGAGGAAAGTTTCTCAGAACTCGCTTAAGCTTCTACTTCAAACCTTGGAGGGATGAGCACAGGGTTCCCTATGCAGCTCCATGGCACTACCTGGTCTTAGCTTAGTCAATTTAGGGCTCAGGATGTGAGCAGTAATGGTTGCCTCCCTGACCACTACATTTCTGCTTTTTTATATGAGAAAGATGAAGACTGAGGACAAAAGGTGTTGCCAAAGACTGAGGACCAGAGATGTTGGCTACTCCAAGATCACAGACAAAACTGGGACTCAATGGCACACAGCAGATTATATAAACTATAAATTTGTGAACTTATATGATATTTTGCACTTTAGAGAAAACACATGTGCTCCATATATTTTTCTATGCCATACTTTCAGTTCCTTCTATTAGAATAACACACTTCATTTTTTAAAGGATGGAATTTAAAAAAAAAATATTTCTTTACCGTGAGAACAATTTGGAAACACAGAGAGGAAGAAATAAACCAAATCTAAAAAAAAGCTCCCATGAACCATTAAGGGCAAAAAATGTCCATGAACACTTGCAATTCCTGGGCAACCCAGCCCATGCCCTTAGTGCATGCCCTTGCCCTTGCCATTGACTCTTACCATAACCTGAAAAAATGTAATATAAAGGCAATATGCAAGCACAGGGAAAACTGATGGGAAATTCTGTAACTCCCCCTTGGTTCTACTTCTAGTCCAGCCCCTAGCAATTGTTTCTCTATAAATTTTAACACCCTACATTCAGAGTTTGCTGTTTCTACCTCTAGAGTTGGTCCACATTCTCCCTTGAAGGTGCATTCCTTGCTTTATCCTAAAAGCTTCCCTTACTCTCAAGATAGCCCACATTTTCTTTTGAATGTACTTCTGCTTTCCTAAGTAAACCTTTGTCTCTGATGAATGCTGAAATTATTTACCATGCAATAAACCAAGAATCCTGCTTATCCTGAGTCAGGTTACCTCTCTAGGAACTCGTGGGACCTCTGATGACAACCTGATGCAATGAACTGCATTCTTTCACTTACAACAGGTTTACTTGAAAATATATACAAACTCAGAATTACCACAAAATACCTTTGTCATCTTTTATGTGAAAATAAGATGCACTTGGTGTGGCATTTGCCCTGTTTTCCTGCTTGCAAGAGGGCCTAAAAAACATTTTATTACATTTCCTTAGGAGGCATCACTTCATCATGACATCTCAGTATTCCCTCTTATTCTCCTGCCTTACTAAAAGGCCCTGAAGAGCTAGTCTAACATTAAACCAAACAAGAAATAGTAAAAGAGAACTTATGAAATTGTTCTGTGATGATAAATAGTAAAAGATAACTTATGAAATTGTTCTGTGATGATATTTTGAAAACTATTTGTGTGTATGTATGTGTGTGTGAGTGTGTGTGTGTGTTTGCATGTCTGTGTGTGTTCATGGACTACCTTTGATGGATAACGCCCTTCACTAGAACTTTTAAAAAATGGTGAATAACATAACAAATGTAAATATACTTCAAAGTACATATTCTTGGATCACTGCCTTAAAATTGCTTTACTATATCTTATTTTTAAGATTCAGAATTCAGGCATGGAAAAGAGTAGCTAAGCAATTTTCTCAATGTCAAACTCTAGAATTTCCCCCCTTCTATGCAATTACTAGAGACTACTGCTACTTGTATTTCTGTACCAAAATAACTCTAAAACCAAAAAAAAAGTCAAATAATTCAAAAATCCTATACTCTTTAAAATCATTAAATAAATATCATGAGTATCCAACTTTGTTTGAATTATCACATCATGTCACATCATGCATCTATGTGAAAACCCCTTCAGTAGCTTTCACTTGCATTTAGAGTAAAATCATAATGTCAAGACAATTAGGAGAATACAAGATCCAACCCCTTGCTGGGCATGGTAGCAAACTGCCTGTAATTCCAGCACTCCTGAGGCTCAAGCAGGAGGATCAAGGGTTCAAAGCCAGCCTCAACAAAAGTGAGGCACTAAGCAACTCAGTAAGACCCTGTCTCTAAATAAACTACAAAAAGGGCTGGGGATGTGGCTCAGTAGCTGAGTTCAATCGCTAGTACAAAAAAAAAAAAAAAAAAAAAAAAAAAAAAAAAAACCAACCCCTCCTCTTCTCTTTCCCATTCCCCTACTCTCCTACTCTTTTTCTTGCTCTCTAGGTTCCAGTCCCATTGGTCATTTTTCCACTTTGGAACTTCTCCTAGGTCTTCCCTGCCTTAGGGCTTTTATGCACAATTTTCTCTCTTCTAGAATTCTCTTTCTTCCAATTTTTGCACAGCAGTTTTGCCCTCTACACCTAGGATAAATGTCAAATCAGAAAGATCTTTTTTACCTTTCCTCTAAAGTAGACCTCAATCTCAAATTACCACCAAAGCTGTTCTCTCACAGCACCAAACTTTTTTTTATAGCACTTTTCATAAAGTATGTGTGTTCTTGTGTGTATATGTGTATTGTGCATCTTCCTCACTAGACTTAAGTTCCATGAGAATGGGAACCATTCTTCTGCTGCATAAAATTATTCACTTAGTACCTAGCACACAACACAAATACATAGTGAGCCATAAGTAAATATTGGATGAACAGAAGTTTCTTTGATCTATGATAATACTTCCTGACATACTTTTCCAGAATATTGGAGGCTGGTCATCATTTGAATTATTCTATAAGATTTTTATCAAATATTCAAAAGGATCATTATAAAATATCTCATATCTGACTTAGTAATACTTATATCTGTGAAGAAGTTAAATATCCTAAATTTAATGTCTGTATCATGATGTTTCTCCAAACCACACAATTAGTAAATATTATTTGCCAATTCCTTAACTCATATTTCAGATTCATACCACCTATTTTGCAAATGAAAAATATATAGGATTCAAGCACATGCCTTACCATTAAGACAGGAGATGACTAAGGGGGAAAAAAAGATGTAACAGTGTAACAGTTCAAGATGTAACAGTTCAAGTGTAAGATGTTCAGTGTAACAGTTTAGCATCTGGGTCACAGCAGCTGGCAAAGGAGGGTTAAACTTTGTTATGATTATTAGGAAATAATACTAAATGTTCAAAAATTGTGTTGTTGCATTTGTTTCTAGTTTTGCTCAAATTATTTTTCACTTTCAACTCAGATGCTGAAAACATTTCCCATGTATAAAGACAATCAAATCAGACTAGATGAGAAATATCTCCAAAAATTATCAATTCCCTTGCACAATATTAATGTTTACCTCTCTGCAAAGTTTTTATCTAGTGATTTATACAGTTATTATGAAACTTGATACCAAGTATGATAAAGAAAGTAATAAACTTTTCCTCTTATTTGAGAGAAATTATCTTTCCCAGGAAGTCAAACTGCCTATAAGCGTATTGTACTTCAAAGGAACAATTTTCTACCAAGAAGACACATCCTAAACTCTCAGATTACAATATTATAATCTAATATTATTACTAAAAGTATAAAAGCATCATGGGATACAAAACAGAATTGGGCTTGGTGCTAACTCGATTATGTGATCTTCATAACAGTATTCATATTTTATAATTCCCAAAAAATATTTTTAAAAAATTCTATCTATCTTTGAGGCAACAATCTAATTTCTTTCCTGAAAAAAAAAAGAGATTCAAATGACTATTTAATGGGTCTTGAAGACATCTATTAATAAAGGAAGAAACTCCCACTCTTGGAAATAGCAAAATATAACAGAATACCAGGTAGTACTTGTAATAATAGTTTTATCTAAAATAAATGTATAATATCTTGTCCTTGGAACATTTATGGAAAATAAAAGCATTGCTTGCCCAGATGACTTTCTGAGCTTTGTAAGTTTCCCAAGTGATATCTAATTTGAGATGTTGCTTAAATAACATTAAAAGGTATACGTGCACATGATGGTTAGTTTTGTAGTCAACTTTGAATGTTTGGACAAACATTGTGCTGAATGTTTCTGTGAAGGTGCTTTTTTTGGATGAGATTAACATTTAAATAGGTGGACTGTGAGTAATGCAGATTACTCTTCATGGTATGGGTAGACCTCATCCAGTCAGTTGAAGCAAACCGCCTACAGACTCAAAAGTATACCTCTTTCCTCAAAGAACACCTCTTTCCTCAGTTTCCAGCCTGCTGGTCTTTCCTCTCAGATTTTGGAGTCACCACAATTCCACAACTGCATGAGTCAACTTCTTAAATAATCTTCTCTCTATATTGATTCTGTTCTTGGGAGAACTCTGATTAAAACATGCACACATAAACACTGAACTATGACCATCTATTTTAGATTTACTTCTATAACCAATTTTTAGACATTATCTCCATATTACTTATGTCAGTTCAACTTCACAAAGACTCAAGGTTGAAACCAAAAGACTCTGGAAAACTGTGTTCATATTTACTTATGAACTAATTGGTGAGACAAGACTTTCTTACCTGATTTCTTTTCGATTATTCTGTCAATTACTGTGCTCATAGACCTATTCTATCCAAAGACAAATGGCTACTGAACCCTGTACGGAAAGAATTGTAAATAGGTAGGTCTGTAGTGAGAACATTTTCCTTCTAGTACCTGATTTCATTATTGCAGCCAGAGCAGCTGCAATTAAGAAAAAGGACAGTCCTAGCACTCAGTGAGAGCCTTATAAATAGTTTCTATTGTCTGGCAAAACACCTTTGGCTGGATTCATGTAAACTCACATTACATTAGCTGTAACAAAAGGAGTGAGAGAAAAATAATTGTAAGAGTGTAAGAGAGAGGAATAACAGTGGAGATGATTTTTTTTTTTTTTTAACAGCGGTTACCTCTGAAAAAGCTCTGTGCACAGTCTATTGAGCATTGTGGCCAGAACTCCCAGCTTCAAGGTCTCCATGTCACAGATGGTTTATCAGGAGAAAAATGATAATGTCTGAAAACTGCATGGATTTTTATTGTTAATGGGGGCAAGGAAAAGAACAGACTGATATACTAAGAATAATGAAAACATCATTCTCCTTATTATACAGTAAAATCACAGATGAAACAAACTGTTAACTTTAGGTACAATGCTTGTTGAAATAAGGTTTATGATTTTGAGGACAAAGGAAGAAGACTTACCTCTTATCCCCATGACTCTCTGCATCTGTGATTTCCAAGGCTACTTGATTAATTTCAGGTGTCATTTTCCAGGAACAAGAAAGGACAGGATAACTGGGAAATTTCTCTTATTGCCTTGTGATGTACACACTCAACCATCTTTGGTTATTATTTTCTGCTAGAAGAAATATACCAGCCAAGAACATTATATAGTTGGGCACATAAGTTATTTGCCAAAAAGTACTTACAATGAGCATGCCTGAGATAAAAATGTCCATTTCCTTGGGGGTTTTGGGGCTCATATTTCTTTAAAAGTGACCATAGTCAAGAATTTTTGATGTGGTGTTTATGTTCAGAAACAAGCAACAAACAGTGACAGCATACCCTACAAGGGCAAGTTGTGATTTCTCAGATACTTAGAGGTTCATCTGCCAGGAATTAGTGCTTTAAGAAAAAAAAAGGGGGGTTTCCCTTTTATTTCAAGAAGAATCTATTTATATTAATTTAATAGAAAGGGGAACATTTCACTCGTCCAAATATTCTTCACATGATCAGGAGAAAACAGAGACAATAGATATTTCCTTTTGTATATTATTTGCATTGGGATAAAAGTCAATTTCAGCTCTTTTGTCTGTTTGAGTTCCTGGATATCTTCTGCCTTTGTGTAAATTATCATACACATTGTTTGCATGGTGGCTAATGTAATTTCCCCTTATTTAGCATTCACAGATGTTTTACACCATCTTTGTTAAAATATATCTTGATTTATGTCATACTTAATGTTTCAAAGAAATGAAGCAACTGCTAAATGAGCTGATGTATCCAGTTGCAACTCAGTCATCCTAAATCAGTCTAGAGTTTTAAAACACAAACATTTCCTTTCCTTTCTCTGACTTATATGTAACCATGGACTATGCATCCTAAGGAAAAGAAGCAAGGAACAAACTTTATACTGTCTACCTGAGATTTTAATTATACTATTCCCAGTGATCCACAAACTAGATCCTTTACATGTACTTGGAAAGATGTGGATACCAAGGAGTGTATACAAAAATCTCAAAATCATATTCTATCTAATCTCCAAGGATTGTTAGAGCTTCCCTAAATTTCTAAGAACCTATTCTTCATACAGTTTTATGTATTTGTGACACCTGAGTAAATGCTGAGCCAAGATCAGAAATGGCAAGAGATGTATACACAAGAACCCAGGACTGAATGGAGAGGGTCATGAATGGGGACTCCTGGCCCCCTGAATGTCTTAGACCTCCTGAACCCTCCTATCTCTTCTAGATGCTTGGCCCCAGGAGACCAGTTTCAGTGTAACTCAAAGGCATCACTGCCATTACCAATTCCTTAAATTTCAGTGTTTTTTTCTAGCTCCAGGGCCAGTCTAGGCATCAAGGCCCTGCAAAATCACACTGAATTTATAAATTACATAGCTCATATTATTCCAACTAAAAGTAACAAAACTTATCTTCTCACTGTCCTGGGAACATGCCTTACTAATGCTCACTTCTTTGCCTTTGTATGTTATTCTTTCCTCCCATACTTGAACACCTTTTCCTACTTTCGGCGTGTTCTCAGTGGTTCCATTACTATCTCAAGCTCTCATCTTTGTGAAGTTTTCCCAAATGAGTTCAGCCTATGGTGACTGCTCCCTTTCCAAACACCTGGAGACTTTATTTTCTGCTTTGTTTATCTGAGTTCTTAATCACATATGCAATGATTAACTAGATAAACATTTATTGAACAACTATTATGCACCAGGCACTGTTTTATGTCTTGAGAGGAAATGGAGAACAAGACAGACAAGAATCCCATGGAGATTAATAATCTACCCTGTTTTAATACACCTCATATGTGTTTATGTCTTTCCCAGTGAGATTGTAATAGCTGATACAGGCCAAGGAGTACCATATGGCCCTTTTATTTGCTCCTGTAGAGTTTGGTTCAATTCACAGTTATTTGAATGACTGGAGATGCAATGTGGCAGATCATAGTTCCTTGTATTGTTCACACTTTTTGTTCCATTCTCCCCACAACACTTTCCCCTTCCATTTTCATCTAACTTGCCTTAAAAATACAAATACATTATTTTGTTTCTTATTGGAAAAACCAATTATTTCTGCCAAACACTGAGCTTTCTTTTCTGTACCTAAGTGTTCTCAGCTATAAAATTGAACAAGATCACCTCTAATATCCATTCTCAATTTATTAGCTGATTGTTTTCTCTGTGATTATTCCAAAACTGCCCAACTCATTCTGATGTATGTTTTTTAGTTTCAAGAATTAAAAGCAAAGTATTTTCTCTTTTGCTTTTTGCACAAATCAAATACTCTTCCTGGATTATTAATTGAATACAACATTACAATAAAAAGTTTAATAAATTTTAACTAGTAATGAAGCTGATGACTGTGGTTGCATTAGCTCACATGCTTGGGATTTATCAACACTTAAGAATTTATTTGGTCTGAGACAAACATTAATTGATTTCTCTGCCTGGGCATTTGGGATGGAGATAGTTTAAAAGTCTCTTTTTACAAGCCATGTAAATATTGGACTTTTAACCCCCTACTTTGAAAATCTTTTCAAATGTCTGCCCCAGAAAATCTTCTATTGACACCTCACCAAACTATCTGAAGATGAAACCTGCGGATTATGCTGACTACCTCTTCCTCTCTACCCCACACTCATACCCTGCAAGAATTATGGCCATTTAACTTCAGATGATTAGGCACTACAACCTGGCCACATTGTTTTCAAATCCTGTCACCACCATTGCCATCAGTAGGCCCAGTTATAATGGGATCTCCTACTGAGGAAAGCCACCACTGAAATTCTAAGTGACATTGGTATCCCTCTCACAGTATAGTCTTAGTCCTCTAATGGGACATAGTTTACTAGTGGGTTTTCCAGTCTTACCTAAAAAATCTGCTCAAACATGCTTGCTTCTCCAAAAATTTCATTTCTAAGGAAGGATGACAGTTAGAGCTATCTGCCTAGTTTGTCTAGAGGAAGCAGGTCTTCATTTCCAGTAGTGTCTAAGTGGTCTACCACAGCAATCTGGTCATCACTTGACTAAGATTATGATTCTAATAAGTGGTAAACTGGGACCAGAACTGAGTTAGGCAGTCAGGTTCAGAACTTGTGCCTTTACCACTACTGAGAATACCTGAGAAGAAATCAAATACAAGGCACAGTCACATAGCGACTTTAATCCTAGAGTAAGGAGGTGAGAAAAGCCAGGAATTATTGTTCACTGGTATGTATGAAGACTTGTCGAGAGAAGGGGAAAGCACATGGATAGCTTGAAAAGCTGCTCCAGGCAATCCTGATGACCTCTGTCCCTGGCACAGTGGGAAATCCTTCATCTAGATGGAGAAAGATGGTGTCAAGGAAACATTCTTGAAAATAAGCTTTGAGTGTTGTTGATTGTCATCATGTGTTTGAATGAAAGTCAACCAGAGACTCAGAATGTAAATAGCAGTGTGGTACCCCATAGGAATGTATTTAAAGTATGTGACTAAACTTCCAAATACATTGAGGTAACATTGTTTTTCCTCCTAAAAAAAGGTTGATATGAAATTTTATAACACAATTAAGGGTCTTATTAGCTATAAAAAAATAATTTCTAGAATGATTCAAGGAATTGTTCTAATGCCAGCAAATTCATCTTGAGGGGAATTTTTATTATTAATAAATGGCATTTACCCACTAATTTATTTTACCTTATATTATATAGAGTATTCAAAAAGCCTTTGAATACACTATTTTCACAATGTGTAATTGATAAGGGTACAGATTACGACTCAGAATAAAGACATTTAAACTCAAGGCAAAGCAGCCAACTTCCTGATTTCATGCCTTTTTCTACCCATTTTATAAAAATTCCTCTCTTTCGTAGTGTTCATATTCTTCCCAATGTCCCAAGGGCTATCCCTGATCAACTTCTTATATCCATAAAAGTAAAACTATAGAAATAAACAAAAAACTAAAAATTAATGAATACTTTATAGACTTTGTGCTGGGTACTTGTTCGTACAAAATATCCAAACAGCGGATCAGCCAAATGTTATTCGTATTACTATTCATAATTCTTTTTGGCTAATAGTATTTTATAGTAGTAGATTTGCCCACCATTTGCTATATATTCCTAAATACATATCCCAGAACCAAGAGAGAGGAAATCTAAGATTAAGCTTTGACCATTGATTAGCCACAAAGTAAAAATCCAGAGTAACACTTTCGCTGAATTTGTCAGATATTTCTTATTCTATTAAGTAGTGGTTTTCACATTATAATTCCTGATTTCATCCCAAATCCCTATCAGATGCTTCAGCACCTATCCCTCCTCATGACCATTAATATAACTATATACGTGTTCCTTATTTAGTTGCCTATATTTTTATCTGCAGTCTAGATCCTAGGTTGCAGACATCAAGAGTGCAGAAAATCTCTAGCACCAAGCACCAGAACCTGGTGAAAATTAATAACACAGTTAATAAAACCCGCATAGTTTGAATAGAACAGATATGAAGGAACCAACTCTAAAATGTTGTTTCATAGCTTGAATTTCAGTAAATGCTATATTATTTAAAAGATATTCTACAGAAACATCTAAATTAGTTGATGGTATGTTTTTCTTAAATTTACTTCAAGCAATATTTTTTCTCTAGTATCCAGTATATTACTTTAAAAAGTAGAATTAAAAACAAATATAAAAACACTTTCTAGTAGTCTCATAAATCACATAGGTAAAAAGAAAGAACAAAGGAAAGGGAGACAGAGCAGGGTAAAAAAGAAATAAAAAAGAAAAGTTCTATGTCTTAATCATTGAAAAGATGCATATTTCTTCAAGTTTTCTTAATGTTTTTCCAAGCCTTCCTATCCAAAATTCCAACAATCACAAAAATATTTTCTTAACACAGTCTCTACTAGTGAGTCAAAATGTCTCCAAGAGTCTTTGGACACACTAGTCTCTAACAGCACTCTCCCTATTGTTCACATATAGGCTCCTTTTCATCCCATTGGTCTCAGCATAAATGTGCCTCTTCAAGGAGGACCTCTAAATATTCTCTTACTATCTATACCTTTGTAATCTTCTTATGGTTTCTCCAGCATGATGTCTCCAGGTAGCTGGTCTGAAAGGATGCTAAAATACACATCTCAGGCAAAAGCCAGGTGGAAGCAAGATGAACAACCTAACTTATGAGACCCAGTGCAAAATGAAAATGCAGGACTAATTTTTCAAATATTACTAAAACTTATAAGGTGATAACAGTAGAGCATCAAGCCAAGCATGGAGAATGTCTGAGTACAGGGACTTGTGTGATGCAGACATGCCACGAAGCTGGGCCTGGGTGGAAGCCATATTGTTATCTTATGACCTAGCATCATGAACTTGGCATCACTTCCATCATTCTGTTCATCCAGGCAGTCATAAAGGCAAATACAAATTCAAAAAGAGGAAAATAACTCCACTTATTGTTGGGTGTGACCATGATTCAGAACAGCATGTAGATTTAGAGACATTGCTATATCATTTCTGAAAATACAGTTTACTACATGTTTGATATAAATGACTGGTTCCTCTCAAAAGAAAAGGATATGTCAAACTGAAAATTCATACCGACAACTGTAATAGCTAACACTTATACAGGGAACTTTCTTTATATGAGTTACTGATTGAGTACTTAAGAGATTAACTCATTTGCTCCTCATGACCCCCTATTTAATAGGTATAGTTTCCATCATCCCTATTATAGACCTGATATCATAGAGAGGTAGAAAGTGATAACATAGTTAATAAGTAAAAGTCCAGGAATTTGATCCAGATCTAATGTTAAAACTCTTATCACTGCTTAGTGTTTTGAACTGAATTTCCCAATGGGACTATGGTCTTCCCCTGTTTCCTACCACCAAGAACCAAGTAACCAGGCAACTCTGCTAGAGCTGGGCACCCAGTATGTAGCCCTCATAGCTCACAATTTCCCTTCTTCTTGTAACTCCACATAGCACACACATGTACACAGAGCATGTTTCCAGCTTACACATTCATATGACTAATTCCAATATCCTGGCTATAGGGGAATAAGCTTGGCTCACCTCCAGAATGGTAGTCAGAGAGAGAGATAGACAAAGATAGTAAAATATTGGTTGATTTGGTCTCCCTTCAAGGTTTGGACCAGAAATATAAAATAAGCAGCTCTGCTTTCAATTTTGTGTTCTGAGGAAAATAGATTCATAGAAAGAGAGAAAAACTAAGTGGATAGAGAGCAGCACAACATAAGAAAGAGCCAGAAATTGAGGAGAAACAGAGACAGAGCACCCTAGCCCATTCAGATCAATTTTTGTCCATCTAGTACTATAGCCCAACTGTATCCCTGATCTTGAGACTCCCACTTGTCATTAGGATATATTTTCATGTTTTGTCTTTATTGGCCTAAGTAATTTTCTCCATTGTTCACTAATAAAATAATCATAATATATATAAATAAAATAATAGCTTGCCTCAACTTAAAGAGAGCAAATTCTAGTAATAGCCAATGGTCTTTCCAAAAAAAAAGATTAAAATAATAAGATCATAGGTTTTTTTCAGGATCTATAAACCATTAAGGGAAAACCAAGTTCCTTTTAGGGAGCAACTAAAAGTTGAAAGAGTCTTTGCATATAGAATTAAATGAAATAGGCACACTATGATCCTTATTATGGGAAAAATAAAAGCATATCCAAGTCAATCTAAATTGTTTTAGATTGCCTTCAAGATTTTAAAATAAAATCTCTGCAAAGGAGATTTTCCTCCAGTATTTCTAGTCCATTTAGTGATGAGGTTTTAAAAAATGAATTATATATATTTTAAATATATAAATTTATTTATATATTTCTCTACTTTTTGAAAAGAACATTTGGTCAACTCTGTTAATCCACTCTCCATAGCGTGCTCATTTCAATTAGTGGTTATCCAACTCTACATATATTTCATGGTAGCCCTGGCATCACCCAAGATGCATCCCCGTGCACGTTAACATGCTTCCTTCAGCTCGGTGCAAAGGGAAAGCTGTGCTTGTTTCCTCCCCTTCTTTCTTCTTTATCCACCCTAGGCTTCCTTCTTCTTTATTTGGGGAGCCTTTCCCAAGCCTGTAGTTTAGGGTGGAAGGGATGGGAGGAGGGGCTCAGATTCTGTTGAACAGCTGGGGCCCATCACTTCTCATTGCAGGTCTTGGGGAGATGTGGTTGACAGAGTGATGCACAGAGCCTGTCCCAGTTAATGACTTCACCATTCTCCATCATTATCCCCATCATTAGGAAATTAGGAGGACAGAAGGTATTTACTGTAAACCTGCCACCTCCCAAGGAGAGATAAATAGAAACTGATAAATGGGCTCTTCTGGTGCTGTTCGTCTATTAACCTTCTGCTTCCCAGCTCCGGCATATGCATGCTATCCTTCCATTAATATCCAGTAATTGGCATGGCAGCGGGCAATACAATCATACCTTTACTGTGAGCGTTCCCTCTGTGTGGTGTGCCTTTGCAAGCACACAATTACAATCATAATGAAGTTTTGCAAAACAGTCCAGTTGAAAGACATTAGGCAGTTGTTCCCTAGCTATAACACCAGCCTCCCACAGTCATTCAGCTCTTAACTCTTCGCTAGCCTGGGCACTGGTTGCCATTGCTAATCTTTCTGCTGTCTTTGCACACATTACAATCTATTCCTTAAAGGTACACTTCCTTTGTTAAAACAGCTTTTCTCTCCCAACCTGGTACTCCTTCAGAGTAAAGCCACAGCTAACCTATGAATGATTTGGAATCACTTTACCTGGTTAACTGACTGTCTGGCATGAGGGTAGAATGGAGTTTTATCTGTAATGTGGCTGATGATGATCACTGAGGTGATAATCTTCATTTGTCTCAACCCCAATTGAGAGCAGAGCTGTTTAGTTGTGTTTCCCATGGAGATTCTGTGTTCTTTATCACATTGCTAGCTAAATAAGAGGGAAGAGAGAATGTAACTCATCAAATTTATTCCCTACATGATAACAGAGTAATAACTTTAGTCCTTTTATTAGGAAGACACCATCCTCTGTGTTCATGTGCTCAAAAATACTTGGGGATCCTGAAGGATCATGAATCCCAGGAAATCCTGAAAGAGTTTACAGAAAACCAAGGCCACAAAGAAAGCCACCTCATTCTGTTATCCATCTGCTCAGACTGTGGCTGCAAAATGAACATTTGGTCTCAGCTTCCCTGACCTATTTCCCCCCCAGTTAAATTCCAGTGTTTACTATGAAGACTTTAAAAGAGTGTCTGCAGTGTACAAACTGTTTCACAGGATATAACGTGAAAAGCAAAGATAAATAATTTTTTAAAGCACAGGACAGGTTCTGTGAAATGAATCAAGCTGATCCTAAATATAGCTCTAAGAGAAAAAAATAAAATAAAAAGTCAGTTGCAAGGGGGGAGGTGAGGAAGGGAAGAGGTAATATCATCAAAGAAATAAAAAGCAATAAAAAGACCGAGAAGAAAATGACATGACAACCTTATTACTGGTGTTCAGGAACCATAGCCTCTCTGTCAGAAAAATACCAGATCACCCATTTGAGAACTTCATAAAACTAAATGATCAATAGATTATAGCCCTGGCCTTCCTTCCACATGGCATAAAACAAATAATAATATCTCCAATAAATATAACAAATAGGGCAATCTTTCCCATCTCCTGCAGACCCTGGATGGAACATGCTACAAGATCTTTTCATTTCCTCTTCAGGAGGATACTAAGCAGCTTGCCAGACTCCCAGTCAAGCACAGCCTCTCCAGCTGTCTTCCCATCATCCACCTTTAACTACAGAATCTGAATATAGCTGGGTGGCCTTGCACTCCTAGAGGCTTTCATTCTGCAGAAAGACCTAGAGGCAGTCACTCTGTTATTCAGTATTCTTTTAACTAAAACCCTCCAGTCACAGACACCATCACACACCTCTTATATAAGGATAAATTATGTTGGTAATCCTGATCCAATGACAGGCTAAGATTGATAAGTATTCTGTCTCCTCTTCACCTTCTCTTATGTTTATGTCTCAATATTTTTATGAAGCCCTTTCACATCATCTCTTCTGGTTCATAACATAGACTGGAGCAATAGTGAAAATATGCTATTATGATCCCTGTTGTACAACTATGGAAACTTAAGATTCACAGAAAGTATAAGTGACTTTCCCAGTTCACATGACTGTACTCAACTCTTTCTTCTTTAAGGCAGCTGTGTTTGTTATTAACTCTAGCAGGCACCATCCACAGTGTGTTCGGTGGAAATAGCACTCTGGGGTTGGGCAACACAGCTGCCCTGTAAAGCAGTACAATATAGTAGAACCAGGAAGGAACTATCTTAGATACTTCTTTAAATTTTGATGAGTTTCACCTTTTTCATTGGTGAAATGAGGTGATAGTAATCACAGTCCCTCCTTAGAGATGAATCTGTGTTATTATACATATATATTTATATTGTTAATATAAGGGGTTTTTTACTTTACTCATCTTTGGTTCTCATTTATCACCATGAGTGCTATGGGTCAATGCTCTCAAGAGTATCCTTATCTTCTGTCTCTCTTCTTCCATGTCAAAGGCTTATCAATTTCAATTTCCACTACTGAAGTTGACCATCTAAGGTTTTGTTTTTGTTATTCTTTTAATTAAGCAGAACTATTTAGTTTTCCAGGATTCCATCCTACTTTTCAGACCATGCTCAAGCTCTTCACTGGGGATTCTCAGGATTGCAGGATTCTACCTTACTCCACCCAGAAGATTTTGGAAATATACAGAAGTAATTTCTTGTTATCATAAGGGACCAAGTTCAGCAAGAGACCTGATTAAAGATCAGTCTTTAAAAGATCAATTGCATTTCAACATACAGCAATAAGCATTCTGGGGGAAAAAAGAATTCCACTTATGATAGAATCATAAAGAGTAAAATGCTTAAAAATTAATTTATCAAAAAGTTCAAATTATACATATGAAAATTATAAAATAATGTTGAAGAAAATTAAAGAAAACCAAGTAAAAGGAAATATACTCCATGTTCATAGATGGGAAAATATAATTTCTATTAAATTAACATGGAAATGCTGCCAACCCAATATACAGATGCAACATGATCTCGATCAATATCCCAATTTCTACTACCTGAATTCCAATATCAGTGTGTTGGCAGCATAACATACTGATGTTAAAATTCATATAAAAATTTAAGTATCCCAGAATAGCCAAAACCATATTCAAAAAGAAAAATTTGGAGCATTCACACCTCCCAATTTCAAAATTTAATACAAAGCTATACTAATGAAGACATTCTACTACTGGCATAAGTTTAATTACATAGATAAATAGATGCATACAGAAAAAATATTTTACATTTAAAAGCAATAGATTTTTGACAATGGTTCCAGGACCATTGAATGGGACAAGTGAATATCCACACAGGAAAGAATGAAGCGGGATCCCTATTGATTTTAAATATAGACACAAAACAACAAAAACTCAAAATAAATCATATATATATAAGAGCTAAAGGTATAACACTGTTAGGTGAAAACATAAAATTAAATTTTTCAACCTTGGATTAGAGAGTGGCCATGTAGATACGACCTCAAATATATAAGCAAATAAAGGAAAACAGGTTATAAGAAATTATAAAAATTAAAAATGTTTATATTTTGATAGACTCCATCAAGAAGGTAAAAAAGAATTGGATGTGATGGCACATGCCTGTACAATCCTAGATTCTCAGGAGGCTGAGGCAGGAGGATTGTAAACTCAAGGACAACCTGGGCAACTTAGACCCTGTCTCAAAATAAAATAAAAGAAGGGATGGGGATGGAGCTCAGTGGTAAAGCATTTGCCTAGCATGCTTGAGGTCCTGGGTTCAACCCACAGAACTGGAAAAAAGAAAAAAGAAGATAATGAACTGTTAAGGTTTGAATGTGAGGTGTTGCCCAAAAGCTCATGTATAAGAAAATGCAAGAAAGTTCAGAGGAGAAATGAGTGGGTTGTAAGAGTCTTAACCCAATCAGTGATTTAATCCCCTAGTAGGGATTAATTGAGTGGTAACTGAAGTGTTAGGGTATGGCTGGAGGAGGTGGAACTTGGGGGTGTATCTGGAGAGTGGAGACTCTCTGCTTTCTGATCACCATGTGAGCTGGTTTCCTCTGCCACACTCTTCCCACCATGATATTCTGTCTTACCTCCAGCCCTGAGGAATGGAACCAGCCTTCTATGGACTTAGATCTCTGAAACCATTAGCCCTCAAATAAACTTTTCCTCCTCTACAGTTGTGCTAGTCACATCATTTAGTTACAGCAATGAAAAAGGTAACTAAATCATGCACAAAATGAGAATAAGAGAAAAATATTTGCAAATTATATATATGGTAACAGGTTTATATATGAAGAACTCTTACATCTCAACAATTTAAAAAATACTAAATTAAAAAATGGTTAGAGAATTTGAGTGCACATTTCTCCAAATACCATAAACCAAGAGACAATGAACACATGAAAAAATATTCAAATTTATTAGTCCCTGGGAAATTATAAATCAAAATCATAATAGTACACCACTTTACACCCACAATAATGATTGTAATTAGAAAAAAATAGGTAATAACAAATGTAGATGAGAATATGGAGTAATTAGAACCATATACAATACCAGTTGTATAAAATGGTGCAGCTGCTGTAGAAAGCAGTCTGATAGTTCCTCAAAAGGGTAAATACAGAGTTTCTACATGACCCAGCAATTCCACTCACAAGTATTTCCTATAAAAATGATCACACATATCCACAAAAAAATTATAAATAAATGTTCATAGTGACATGATTCATAATACTTAACAAGTGAAGACTATCCAAACTTCTAACAAATGATGAGTTGATAAATATGGTATATCAAAAAATGGAATAGCATTTATCAATAAAAAAGGAATAAAGTATTTTAAAGGAATGAAGTATATGCATAGCATGGTCAAATCTCAAAAATATTTTGTTAAATGAAAAAAGTCACATATTATACCAGGCCAAATCTACAGGGACAGAAAGATTAGTAATTTCTAGGAAATGGAATAATGAATATGGTGTTTCTTTTTTAATATTTATTTATTTATTTATTTTTAGTGGTAGTTGGACACTATACCTTTATTTTATTTAGTTATCTCTATGTGGTACTGAGGATCCAATCCAGAATCTCCCATGTGCAAGGAAAGCACTCTACTGCTGAGCCACAACTCCATCCCCAAGTACGGTGTTTCTTTTGGGGAGTGACTATAGTGTTCTGGGAATAAATACTGGTGATTTTTTACACAACTTTTAAAATTTGCTTTAAAAACATTAAATTGTATACTTTTAAAAAGGTGATGTTTAAGCTATGTGAGATAATTAAAATTTTACTTTAAAAATGACAAAAACTTATTTCTGTTATTCAGAAGGGAATCAAATATACTAAACATTCTAAAATGTCACAGGAGCCCATTCAAAAGATTTTGTTTTAATGAATCACAGTGGTATTTATTTCTGAGCCATTTATTTCTGAGCTAAATTATCTATTTTCTTCACATTATCACCATTGTGGGAAATCAATTTTCTAGCTTAGAAAAGGATTAAAATAAGAAAAGACATTTGTGACTAGTCCAGTTCAACTACTAGAAACTCAGGCATGTGTCATTTCAAACTTCTCAAAGTCCATTTAATCATCTAAAGAGTGTGATGGTTAATTTTATGTATCATGTTAACTGGGTTACAGTGCCTAGATTTGGGTCAACTTCTAGGACTTTCCATGAGGATAATTTTAAGAGGAATTAACACTTTAATCAGTGAACTTTGAATAAAGCAGACTGCTCTTTACATTGTGAATGGGTCTCATCCAGTCAAGTAAAGGCCTAAATGGAACAAAGACTAATTTCCCATGGGTTAAGGGAATTTTGTCTGCAGATACCTTTGGAAATAAGAAATAAAAAAAAGAGATCTGAACTACAGCATCAGTTCAAATTGCATCTCCAGCTTGCCAGGTCATCATGATGATTTCGGACTTGTCAGTCTTGTCAATAATGTGAGCCATCCTTAAAATAAATCTGTTCATATATATAAACACATCCTATTGGTACTGCTTCTTTCTTTTCTCTTTCTTTCTTCCTAAGAAGAAGACCAGTAGAAATAGTATGCCTTACAAACTTTCAGACCTCTTCTATTTCCATCATTTTCAGCAATGAAAAGAATATGCATTTTAAAAGCTCCAGTTACTTCCAGAGCATAATCAAAGTTTCAATTGACCTTATCAATTCCACCAAAAAAGATAGCAATTTAATGCCTATAGAAATGCTTGCATTGGCACACCTACTTTGTAATGTCCTCTAAACTTGAGAATGATATATAATATTCCCTAAAAGTCTATTTGATCAGAATATAAAAGTAGATGTTCCTGTGTTAGTCAGTTTTCTGTTACTATGACAAAATGCCTGAAAAAAATCTATTTAAAAGAGAAAATATTTATTTTATCTCACAGTTTCAGAGGTTTTAGTTCATGGTCACTTGGCTCCATTCCATAGCTTTTGGTGAGGCAGAACATCATGGTGGGGAATACGTGGTGGAACAGAACTGCTTGCCTCATGGTGGCCAGGATGCACAGACTGAGAAAGAGAGAGAGAGAGAAGAATAAAGAGCTGCAATCAAGATATATCCTTCAAGGACACACACCCCAAAATCTACTTTCTCCAATTGACCCCATCTCCTACGGTTCCCAACGCTTCCCAATAGTACTACCAGTTAAGGACCAAGTCTCAATACATGAAATTCTGGAGGACATTTAAGATCCAAACCATAATAGTTTATATTATTTAAGGATAGCCACCTGATACAATAGCATATATGTAGCCATTTACTTTGCCATGAATAAAGTCCTGATATCCTTAAAAGCAGATGACATCAGTCTTTTTCATCATCAGTCATAAACACTAAGTCCTCATTGTTAAAGTAGACTCAATTCTAAGTTATTTGGTGACTGATTATCCAGATGTGCATTATTCAGAGCTTTTTATTTTCTGTTTATTTAGCAAGATGAGTTTTTGCCATTTCACAGTTCATTTGCACCTCTACCAGTTTGCTACACTCATTACTATCTCTGGCAAAAGATTTGGTGAGAGAGGCAGTTGATGCAAATGAGATTTTTAGATTATACATGCTCTTCCTTCTTACCATGACCATGGATAATCAAGAATTGACTGTGCAAAGAGCATAGAATGCAATTAGCCATTGGATAAGGAAAGCTTCAAACATAATATCACTAGAAATGGCTTAAAGGGACTACTGAGAGGAATGCCTTGAAAATAAGACAGTGTTTTCTCATTAATGTCACCTCATGCTTTCTGAAATGTCTCCAGATAAAT